AGCCTGAGAGGAGTTCAGTCTGAGTGGAAAAGTCAGTGTCATGGATGTTCCAGAGAAATTTTACGACCTATAAAGTAAAGGATGTTTGCATTCTGTTATTTAGCACGTTAAAATGTGTGACTATTATCAGACAGTATAACACTCATCACATGTTTATGACAATGTTACATGCAAATATGTCAAGCAAGTGTTTTTCTGGACTGGATTTTCATATGGCAACCCACTTTTCATTAGGGACATTTCTTACACCTAGTTGCAAACCCACACCAAAATGGAAGTCAGTATGTTGCTTATTTTTCAAGTTGTTCAGCTCACAAGGTTTACATTTTTATACATAAATGGTAGAAGCCATCTTGGATTTTGACATGGCAACCCAATTTTTGAAAAGAACATTTCTTATGCCAAGGTGCAGCCACTCACCAAAATGGATGTCAGTATCTCGCTTATTTTTCAAGTTGTCATGCTCACAACATGCATGGATGGACAGAACGATGGACCGATGGACAAATGAACAAATGGACAGACGGAAGGTGCTTCCAATTCTTCCTCTCTGCAACGGGAGACAAAAAGAAACATTTATTCAACGACAAGGAGAATATTTGCATGTGTGCATCTCTCTGTGGTATGAAAGGTTGGAGTCTGTGTATGACATGAAATAGTGCTAATAAATTATAGCATAGACCTCGCGTTCACCAAAAAATATCCATCAATTATCCAACATTTTTCAGTCAGGTCATCTGGACAGTTTTTTCTTTTTGTGTGTTGAAACATTTTGCCTTTGATCCTTCCGGATCGAAGGCGAAATGTTTCAACACAAAAAAAGAAACTGTCGAGATGACCTGACTGAAAAATGTTGGATTGCACTTTGTATACCTGGATTATTGAGCATGGACTTTGCTGTATCCATCCATTATCTTTACCCACTTCTTCCTTTTTGGGTCACGGTGGTCACTGGTGTCCATATCCAGCAGTCACTGTGCAAGGGACGAGGGATGTCCTGGACATGTCTCCAGTCCATCACAGAGACACATAGAAACAAACAATCATTCACTATCTCACTCACACCTAGAGACAATTTAGAGTTACAAATCAGTCTAACATGCATGTGTTTGGTTTGTGGGAGGAAACGAGAGTACCAGGAGAAAACCCATACATGCACAGAGAAAACATGCAGACTCCACCCAGAAAGGCCCCAGGCTGGGATTTGAACCCACAATCTTCTTGCTAAGAGGCAACAGCTCTACCAACTGTGCCACTGTGCTGCCACCACCACCAGAAAATATACTGACAATAATCCTAATTTTTTAGTCCTTGATGTTGCCCTCGGTCAAGCGGCAGGTAAAATCATTTGTGTCTGGTAAGGCCCAGACAGACAACGACCCGGCTACAAAGTAAAACGTTAGCCAGAACATAGACACAGCAGACTTCCTGTGACAGGTGCACAGTGGTTTTGATCAAGCACTACACTTACACAGAAACATTGTTTTGTCACTGTGCTGGCAGCATGTTGCGATCCTGAGTGATGTGTGGTTTATCTATGATGAGGGGCACTTGCAAAGTGGTCTGGCTTAAACACCAAGAATCTGAAGCAGGACTGGTTGTGCTGGCCTCCGGTCAAGCCTACAGCAGTAATCATTAATGTCATCAAAACTACCTAGAGCAGACGTGATACCTGTAGATGCAGGGGTGGGTGTTTAATGCAAGGAGAGGACACAAGAGAACGTCTCAGGGACATGGAAAATTAGTTGTTAAAACCTATTAAGCATTTTCTAAGATTTACGTCACACTGATGCAGGTTTTGGTGCCATAAAGTCTCATTCTATGAGGTTATGGAGAGCACAGTGGGGGTGTCCTTCAATGTGAAGGGGGCCTGAATAAAAAAATGCATCGGACTGATGTAATATTTTTGGCTGTGGTTCCCATACTGGTTTGGGGCTTGCATGTCTTCAGAACTCAAACAAACCTTACATAACCAATTACCCACCTTGTATTAGGAAAACCAACTTTAAAAGATGCAAGCTGATTTGTTTATTACATTAAGATGATTTTCACTTTAAATGTTTCTTCTGGTCACACAAAAATATATATTGCAGGGCCAAAGAGTCCCTTTAATCAGACGTCTTTTGGATTATCAGTAAATCCTAACAGAGTGACATTAGCTTCAGATGTTTTTATGTTTAAAGATTGTTACTTTGCAGATTTTAGGCTGCTGGAATGCTGCTCAAACACCAACAAAGTAGCAATGTATGATTTGTTCGAGTGTAAGCAGAACACAGAAGATTTATTATTAAAAAGTTTAATTTTTTTCCATTATTTTTTGTCACACTGAACACATCCATCTGACTCAATTATTTGTAATGTAAAAAAAACTGAAAGGTTTTTCATATGAGTCAAATGCACCTCTCAAAATTCTTACTTTGATCTTTGAAGTCCTTTAATGCAGCCATGCATACGTAACACTTTGTCCTGTTCATTGGGACGAGTCATGGGAAGTTTCACTCAGGGGACTGCTGATAACGTCAGAGTGAGACCTCTAAAACGTCCAGCCCAAGGTTGTCCCGGGGTTGGACACAGGCTCGCACACAACAGCAAACACAGAGAAGGGAACCTGTCTCTTACACGTAACGAGGCTTAAAAACCAACAGAAAGCCTGGGTGATGTCATCATGTGATAATGACATCCTCGACTTCCAGACGCATGCCGCCCGTCGTCCGACACATTAAAGACCTCATCAGAGATCTTATCTCACGCGGATCGGAGCCAAAACCCTGCCGAGGTTTGAGCTAATTGTTCGTTTGAGCTTTGCAAGAAATCACACACCCAAAGTAGCAGATGTAAAACCACAAAGCACAACGCACCCCGATGTTCAAGTACTTAGAAACAATGGGACAGCAAGAGCAGTTCATTCTCATATGTTTAACACAAACTTCACCAACGAGATTAAAGTTCAGACCCTAAACATACTGTAAAATGTATTCAACGTTCGTTCGGTTGTGATGCACGTAGACAGGATTACAGAATGCTTTCTGCTGTACAGCTGTAAACTTGATGTTTACATACATCAACAAAAGCTGATGGAGGTCAGCATGACTCACCGAGCAGAGTATTCTCAGACAGTCTGACTTTCTGCGCTGGTATAATAAGTTTTTTATAATCAGCATCAGTGTGTGTATGTTATGTGAGCGTAGCGGGTCTTGTAAATGAGTGGCTGACGTTAATAGCTTTGCCACGTGCCAGAGGAGGCCTGCTGCACTGGTTGTGGTCTATCCAGCTAATGATCAAATAATAACATTTTATGTCTGAGGTAGTGGGTGTGTGTGTATTTATGTGTGTGCATTTATCACTCTTAACTGAGCCTGTCTTTCTCCTTCTGGTCCTCTAAGAGTCTCTTGTTTTGTGTTTTCCTCTCGTCTGTTTATCAGGCACCTTCGTTTCTTTTCCTCGCTGTGTCTAAAGCTGTGACTTCTCCTGTCCCTTTCCTCCAAAATCTCTACAAAAACCTCTTCAGTTTAATTTTTCTCTGGGTTTTTCTTCCCCTCCCTGCATCTGTTTTTGTGAGTTTAGGGGTGGTGTGAGGACCTGTTGCCAAATCACAAACACCATTTGGCTTGTGCGCACTTCTTTTGATGACCTTATTTGCCCGGTTTACGTCTCTTTGGTTTTAACAACGCGCGTATCTTCAAGAAGTCGCATACATGATTTAATGAATTTAGTTTCATGTTAATCTAGCTTAATACACACCAAATGGCAAAGTACCTCTTTCAAGTGCTCAAAATGCAGCTTGAAATGTTAAATTAAGTTAAATGAGAGGGCACCCCACTGAGGCGCTGACTCGGTAGCATCAGACTAAAAGGTCAGCAAAGGAAATTATTTTCCTGTAATCGTGCTAATAAGGAGTCGCAGAAGGGAAGAAACACTCGTGAAGCAGAACATTTAAAAGCTCTTGTCTTCTTCTTCCCACGGAGATACAAACAGATGACATCACAGGGTGGTCCGCTCTGCGTTGAGCTGAGCCGAGCCGAGCCACGCTGAGTGGGTCTCTGCTGGTCTGCCAAACAGATGTTGGTAGCGACAATAATGAGGGGATGGGAGCAAAATTTAGGAGTTTGAGCTGGAGACGTTTTGCAGCGACAACCAGGAAGGATCAGACACAAATACAGAGGATGGTCTTTAAGTTGATCTCACAAAACCAAAGAAAGTAACTTTTTTATTCTAGATTTTAATAGACCTTTATGTACACAGTGATTGACTGAAAGACTTTTGTTTGTTCAGAAAAAGGAAGCAAAAAATGTCATTTTTCTCATTATGGCGGTTATTCTGTATTTAAACCATAATTTCAGGACATTTAGCAGCAATAGCCAGTTTGTTCATTAATTAGGTCAAGAAACCTTGTAAGATGGGCTCACCCAGACTGAAAGAAAGCTGGAACAGTCTGCTACTCACAATTGTCTGACATTTAAATGGTAAATGAACTGTGCTTATATAGTGTATTTCAATGTGATCAAGATACTCAAAGTGAGTTACACTACAATCTGTGCCTCATTTACCCATTCATACAGCACTCTATTAGATCTGTAGACTAATCAGTGCTTTATCACATTCATACACTGATGGGACACACATAGGAGGCAATGAGGGGTTCAGTGTCTTGCCCATGGACACTTCAGCATGTGACTGCTGGTGGAATCGAACCCCCAACTCTCCTATTGGAAGACGACTGCTCTAACCAGTCAGCCACAGCTGCCCCTTAGATAAGGATTTTGTGGAAGATAAGTAAAAGATAGAAAATGAAGACAAGAGAAAAAAGTATTGTTTCCCTGAAATTTCTTAACCAAAATGATTAAAACCCTGTTTTCTGGACATATTTAAAACTCTTGAGATGAACGCTAGACACATCCTGTAATAAATATCTGAAGGTGGAATAAAAATGTCATGTTTTCTTTTATCATAACACTTTAACAACAACATCACCAAACTTAATCTGTTCCTTTTGTTTATAGATGAAGTGCCAGAGAGTTCTAACCTACCTGAGGATATTTGGGACCACCATGTTTGGAGTGTCGCTCCTGGTGGGCATCTCCACTGCCTACATCATGGGCTACCAGTTCTTCACAACATCCCACAATCACCTGTCCTTTGGCCTATATGGTGCTATCTTGGTTGTACACCTCATCATCCAAAGTCTATTTGCCCTCTTAGAACACCGAAACATGCGGCGCTCCTTAGAGACACCCATTAAACTGAATAAATCCCTGGCATTGTGCATTGCAGCATATCAAGAGGATTCAAACTACCTGAGAAAATGTCTGGTGTCAGTCAAAAGGCTGACATATCCAGGGATCAAAGTAATCATGGTGATTGATGGGAACTCAGACGATGACACGTACATGATGGACATTTTTAAAGAGGTCATGGGTTGGGACAAAGCGGCTACGTACGTATGGCGGAGCAATTACCACAACAAAGGCCCCGGCGAGACGGACGAGAGCTACGTCGAAAGCCTTCAGCAAGTTTCCAAGCTTGTTTTGAACAACAAGTGTGTCTGCATCATGCAGAAGTGGGGAGGGAAGAGAGAAGTCATGTATACAGCCTTCAAAGCTCTAGGGAGGAGTGTGGACTATGTACAGGTAAGGCTGATACCCTCACACAGAAATAAAAGGTATCAGTTCAGATTTTACAGACTATATAAAACAGCATATAAATAAGATTATATAAAACATTCAGTGGTAAATGTGGTAAAGAAACTGTAGGAGTCAGGGAAGGCCTGCACTGAATCCAAAGGAAAGAGAGCAAAAGGAGATGTGGCTTGAGAAATGCAAAGGGGGGCTGTGCAAAGCCAAACACAGGGTCCACAAAGAGGCTTTTGTGTTGCTTTTAGACGGATGGTGGCTGGGTGCATCGTGTTGAAAAGTGAGGCATGAAAAGGAGCAGCAGTAGCTGATGTCTGAGTGTAATAATGGATCAGTTTCAGAAGGCTGTGGGTTACATCACCTTTGTGAATACTACTCCATCAGATGCCCCAAAAACTGTGTCACAGGATTAAATTTGGTTAGGCTTGTAAGAGGTTTATCTTGAATAAACTCACTTTTGCAGAACTAAAAACTCATACATTGCATGAAAGCTGTCTGAAAGTCTTCTAAGCCACATTAGTTCTAAAATCTTTGTAATTATAGCTTCTGCGAAAACATTTGAAATTATCTATAAAATGACAATCCGGTATCTCAAACTCTGGTAGTTGTATGGTAACCATAACCATTGCTGGGTATTTTATACCTACCTACCTACCTACCTACCTACCTACCTACCTACCTACCTACCTACCTACCTACCTACCTACCTACCTACCTAACTACCTACCTAACTACCTAACTACCTAACTACCTAACAACCTACCTACCTACCTATACCTACCTACCTACCTACCTACCTACCTACCTACCTACCTACCTACCATCCACCCATCCATCCAACCATCCATCCATCCATCCATCCAACCATCCATCCATCCATCCAGCCAGCCAGCCAGCCAGCCAGCCAGACATCTATTTTCGTTACTCGTGTTCCTTTCCAGATTGGGGGAGCTGGTGCTTATTGCCAGCAGTCATTGTTTGAGAGGCAGGGGACAACCTGGACAGGACTCCCGTCCATCACAGGGACACAGAGACAAACAATACCATTCATACCCTCACCCACACCTAAGAACAATTTAGAGTTACCAATTAACCTAAGATTCATGCATTTGGTTTGTGGGAAGGAATCAGAGTACCTGGAGAGAACCTACATGTGCACATGGAGGCCAAGAGGCATTCCTGCGACCTTCTCGCTGCTCCGCCATGCCGCCTTCATACTATACAGGTTGCTTATAAAACTTTAAAAATGATCAGATAACAAACTTCAGTAATATAACAATACCAAAATAACTTTATTGTCTTTATTGCAAAAAGAAAAGAGCCTTTCAGGGTAAAACGCCTCAACACCTGCTGCTGCCAGACACTGGATGTTTTACAAAGATATCTAAAGACCAGACTGGTGTTCTGCCAGAAGTCAATATTCTCCAATGTTTGGGAATGTGCACTTTCAGAATCATTTGGTTTTTGTATAAAACAGATCCATTTGTTTGGAAAGGAAATTTTGGTTTCAGGTTTGTTTTTTTATAACAAAAACATCTTTTTTTAGAGGAAAAGTAAGAAAATCACTATAAAAATGGGAGGCAAAGTTAAAAATTACTTGATGTAATTGTTGTAGGGAAAGAAACACTGCCCAGATTGTTTATTCTATGAAATACCTTGTAAATGTTTCACAGGATCTTTAGTGATCTTCTTGCTGAAAATAACTGAAACTATCAGCATGACATCATGACTCTCAGCAAAACATTTAATTTCCCTTTGGGATTAATAAAATATTTTTGAATTTTGAATTATACTGAATGAGAATCCCTCTAATCTAACATGAACATGGCTTTTTTTATCTCAGAAGTTCTTCAGTGTTTCTGCAAGGCTGCAGTATATTCTTCCTCTGACATCATGGTTTTTCACTTTGGGTTTTTACTCAGGTGTGTGACTCTGACACCATGCTGGACCCAGCTTCTTCAGTGGAGATGGTGAAGGTTTTAGAGGAGGATCCTATGGTGGGAGGCGTTGGAGGAGATGTTCAGGTAATGTTATAAAACTGTATTTTCTTGATTGAGACATTTTGAGAACTTGAGTTTACATTGAACAGTTTGCTGTATTTCAAACATAACAGCTTCTAATTTTTGACCATGACTCTTTCCATAGATCTTGAATAAATATGAGTCATGGATCTCATTCCTGAGCAGTGTACGGTACTGGATGGCCTTCAATATTGAGCGGGCTTGCCAGTCCTACTTTGGCTGCGTCCAGTGCATCAGTGGGCCTTTAGGAATGTACCGAAATTCCCTCCTGCACGAGTTTCTCGAGGACTGGTACAATCAGACCTTCATGGGATCTCATTGCAGTTTTGGCGATGACCGTCATCTGACGAACAGAGTTCTCAGCCTTGGGTATGCAACAAAATATACAGCGCGTTCAAAGTGCCTTACTGAGACTCCAATTACGTATCTGCGTTGGCTCAATCAACAGACTCGATGGAGTAAGTCTTATTTTAGAGAATGGCTTTACAACTCAATGTGGTTTCACAAGCATCATCTATGGATGACTTATGAGGCAGTGATCACAGGCTTCTTCCCATTTTTCCTCATTGCTACTGCAATTCAACTCTTCTTCCAGGGAAGACTCTGGAATATCTTGTTGTTTCTACTCATTGTGCAAGCAGTGGCACTGATTAAAGCATCGTTCGCCAGCTGCCTCAGAGGCAACATCGTCATGGTGTTCATGTCATTCTATTCAGTACTGTATATGTCCAGCCTGTTGCCAGCCAAAATGTTTGCCATAGCAACTATCAACAAGTCCGGCTGGGGAACATCGGGCAGGAAAACGATAGTTGTAAACTTCATTGGCCTGGTTCCAATAACTGTTTGGTTCACCATCCTCTTCATTGGATTTATATACACAATAGTCCTACATTATAAAAGCAATGTTCCAGAAATAGAAAAGATTGTTTTGGTTATTGGGGCAGTTGTCTATGCAAGTTACTGGGTCATATTTTTGACATTGTATGCTGTCCTCATAAACAAATGTGGGAAGAGGAAGAAGGACTCACATTATGATATGGTGCTAGACGTATGACGCATGATCCAAGGAGGACATGCACCATTTACCACTGAACTGGAGATTTTTTTCGTTTGTTTGTTTGTTTTTTGCTGTTTACAAAGTTTTTTCATATGCAAGACAACTCTAGTAGGAAGACTGGTTGAGTTCAATCACAATAGGAACATAAAAGGCAGTGGCTGTAACTATAGAAATCATGATGTTGGTATATCAGCATTCTAGTTGAACAAGTTATACAGATTAGCTACATCTAATATGTTAGACAGGAAATCAACTCTAGGATTAGTAGGTTCTTTTGAACAGTCAGAATGGCAAGGTTACATATATCATTGCAGTTAGCAGAAAGAGCTAAGTTTGGAATATTAACTACCTCTTAACCTTGTCATATCCACTGGGCTTCCATCTTAAAAAGCATCTTGGTAAAATAAACTGCAAAATTTCAGTCTTCTTCATTGAGGTTTAACTGAACCAAAAAGATCAACTTACCTGCAGAACATTAAATTATGAACTTTCTACGTCACCAAGAAATGAAAGAATAATGGAAGGGAGAAACATAATAACAGGTTTGTCTCCTCAACTGTCAAATGACTGCAGTTGTAGTAACAAGTGTTGTAAGGAACAATTGGTGTTACTAAAAGTCCCAAACAATGTCTGCCTTATCTCATGAATAACTGATGTTGGCCACTTGAACATGTTAACAGCACAAACAAATGATAAATCCAACTAAAGAGACTCTGCCTCTGTTCAATGTTTCAATGCACCGAGTTACAAGTTATGTCAAGGACAATGTATCAGTGTGCCTTTTCAGTGTTTTAATCTGTCTTGGCTACAGAACCAGTTTACAAAGCACAAAGGGCTTTAAAATGGAGAGCTGCTTTCTGTCGTTCATTGCACTCATGTCATATGGGAACTATGCAAAGACCCATCCATTAACTGCACCTGCTTTAAAGAGTCAGATTGTCTGGAGCGTATTTCACACCGAGAGGCACCTGCCAAGAATAAGGTCTGAATCCAGAACCCTCTCGCTGTGAAGCATCAGTGCTACTTATGGCACTTGGCTGCAGGAAGAATAGGAAGGATTTTGTGGGCCGCACAGTGGCTTAAGAGACACTTTTCTAAAGAATCAGATGACCTGCTTTGCTTCTGGTGCCAAGAACAAGAGAGCATTTGTCACATTTATTTTTAAATGTGCTCAGGAGGGGCTTTATTGCTAACCTCTCAATGCTAACCAGAGAGGTTTGCATAGTTGTTTGAATGCTTTTTGCAAAAATGGATGTTTTCTTCTCAACGTGAATCCATTTTGCATGAATGTAAAGTATTGTAGCACATGCCGACAAAGTTTCGAATGTTTGTGTGTTGATGCTCCCATATGACATGACTGCAGGATTTATCAATGTTTACAAAGTGAAAAATCTCAAACTGACCAATCATTGGTGGATGTAATTGTTACCTGATCAGGTGACCATGTGAACCTGTAACCACAAGTGGGAGACTTTGTATCGCTGCTGTTGTGACTTGTGTGTTTGCAGAAACAATGAGTTTAGTTTTTAATCTTTTTATTAATCTGTTACGAAATGTTTAACACGTTTAGTATTGATGAATTTTTAACCCAGTTGACTAATGACCACAAAGCAAACATAGTAGAAGTCTTCAAGTCCAAAAACTGTGATTTTTGGTTTCCTTGAGCCTTTGATCCAACCCATATTCTACAATACTGTATTAGCAACAACATGGATATTGTTGTTCGTCCCAGATTGTGGTAAATGACTGAAGGAGTCTATATGAGCAGAAGTGTATCTGAAGAGAAAAGCACTATCTTATAGCAGGAATATGAAAGAGGACATGATGGAAGGTAACATCACTGAGATGAAATAGCGCCACTGTTTGCTACGGATCAGAAGCAGACACGTTTAACTGTTCTGCACTTTTACGTCTCTTCTGTTCTCCAGCACGATGCTTGATGTAACCAGAATCAAATACCTCTGTGCACGGCATCAAGGTGTCACAATGCTGTCCAAAAGCATGCATGATCATAGTCTCAAATACTTTAAAGTCGATTCTGTAAAGTTAAATTTACAAATGTCCATTTTTGCAAACAAATTCGTACAAAGTCATTTGAATTCGTTTTTTGTCTTGAGGTTTTTTTGCTGTAACAAATTGTGTATTTTTACTTGTACATCAATGTGTTTTTTTATATAAATACTGTATATAAATATATACATTTCTATTTTTACTTATCTACCAAAGATTCTTTATTTTTAGTCATGTTTTTGTAAGAAATAGTGCATTTGTTGTGTTTTAAATGGTTCCATTAGTTACTTGTATATCTGACCAAAAAATGTGAAATTTTGAATTGGAGGGGTTGTCTGCAATGACCATGATCAAAAAAAGTAGTGTTTTTGGAATAAGTTATTATTATTGTTTTGTTTGTTTACTTTTTATTTGAACAGAAAAATGTCATATTTATTAAAACAGTTCTGTGGTGTTTAGGATTCTGTTCATACATTAGAAAACCTCTGCTAAATGTGTTAAACCCCTAAAACTGCATGTCTACACTTTAAAAATAAAATGTCTCGGTTTTGTAATGATAAAACTTTTCACTTTAGCTTTTTTTTGCAGTCTAAGAATCTCAGTTTTTATTAGTGTTTTTTTGCATAACGAGCAATGAATGCAAAGCAGAGCTAAAATGTTTTTACATCTCCTGCATGAAAATGTGATTCTCTGCAGACTGTTCATGTTTTGGTTGTGAAGTGCCTTCATAAGAAACCACAAGCAGAAAATATTGAAAGACTTTTTCTAAGATTTGGTTATATTTCAAGATGACATGGACTGTTAGTCGTGAGCAGTGTTATATTAAAGCACTTTTAAGTTGTGTCCAATAAAAAATGACTTTGTCCAAACATTTGTTACTTTAGTTTTTGTTTGTTTTTTGCATGTAGAAGTGATATGCTGTTTCTTTGAAAGGTGGCTCACTTGTATCACTTCTCTCTTTAGCCCGCCTGCTGCCTACGTTTTAGAACTGGGGCCTTGTGGGTCATTTTGACCCAAGGACAGCAGGAGGGTAAAATGCTGTTTCCTCAATTAAGTTCTTCAAACAAAATCAGTACAACATGCACATCAAAGGCAACAGTGTCTAATAACGCTACCTTCACATTTAGGCATGATATGCTGCTGCACACAGTGTTGTGGTAGTTCATTGGTCCGTGGTTGTTTCAGGAAGGGCATTCATCTTTAAAACAATCACCAAGTCTTCGTGTGAGTTTACTGTGGCAACCCCTGAAGAAGGGCACAGCATAAAGAAGAAGTACAAGAAAAAAGTTGATTACAGTAATGTGTAGCAGTTCTAAGCAGATGGTAAAACACATTTTCTGCACTTTGTGCTAATAACCTTCAGAGAGACAAAGCAGAGGAAGGTAATATCCAAACACAACATTAAACAAAGTATGAGTGAGTTCTGAAGACCTGCCTGTTTGTTTCAAATCCTCCATTATCTTTACCAACTTCTTCCTTTCTGAGTCGCATGGGTTCTTTTGGACGAGTTCATGTCCAACAATCAATGTGTGAGACATGGGGACAGCGTGGATAGGTCTCTAGTTGGGTGACCAGACGTCCCTGATTTCCGAGGAGTGGGACAGTCACTGTTTTGGATGACCTGTCCCCGGTTAAAGATGTCCCTGGAAATGTCCCCGATTTTAGCATAAAAATGTTGTGTGTAGACTGTTATTATAACAGTTATATTATTATATTATTTATAGCAGAAAGTGCAAGTGAGTATGTTACGCACAACAAAAGCTATTACTGTAACTGGTCGCGCTGGTGCTGCTGTTAAAGGTACAGACAGAGAAGAAGAGCAGAGTGAGCCACCTTTAAACTAGAAGATGAAGAAGAGTGCGGCGCAGCTTGTCACCACCGGCTGACAGCTGTCCTGTGATATACGGTATGTGTGCACTGATTTATTTTGTTTGAACTGGGTTGACCCTAGCGGTGATAAATGGTTGGTTCGTGGTAAGAAGGGTTTCTAGTGTTGTCAGCTGTGTCTATGTAAAATAAAAAAGGGCTGAGGTGCGTTTCAGTTTGGACGTATGAAAATTTCTCAGTGATGGAAACTGAGTGAGTCAAGAACTGAACTGAAAATGAGGAGGAGAGAGAGCTCATTATAAATGTGCATTTCTTCTGTTCTATGAGCTTGGAGCTCCAAATAAGTACAGTTTTTTGCTAAATATAGGATGTTGGGCGTTTCTTCAGTGTAGGAAACTAGTTCAATAATTACAGGCAGTTATTCTAGTGATAAGATGAAATAAGTGGAAGAGCAAATAAAATGAATAGGTAGCATATTACTAAACTGTGTCTTATTTCTTATGTTTTAAGTATTTCACTTTACTATTATCTGTGGGGAGTGGTGGCGCAGAGGTTAGAAAAGGTGGGCCTGTGATAGGAAAGTTTCCGCTTCAACTCCCTGGACCGACAACATTAAAATGTGGGTGGGAAAGGTGAAACACCCACACCTGCCTCCACCCTCACTTACCCCATCCTGGGCCTCTGAGCAAGGCTCCAAACCCTAGATAGCAGCTCGCTGCTCCACACAGAGGGCTGTGGTAGCTCAGTGGTCTGTGGTTGTGTCAGGAAGGACATATGGTGTAAAAACAATCACCAAGTCTTCGTGCAAGTTAGTTCACTGTGGTGACCCCTGAAGAAGGAGCAGCTGAAAGAAAAAAACTGTACCATTATCTGTAAATAACTTTTTCTGCTCTTATTCCAGACCTCCGTGGTACCATGGCTGATGGCTCTTCAGACAGAAGAGGCCTCGCAGAGCGACATTAGTTCACCCAGTGTAGTGAGTCACGTGGGTACGTGCCACTAGTTGTATGACAAATATATGTGGTATATATTTATGCATACTTTTCACGAGTTCTTCATTTTTCTGACTGTAATGTCGTGCATTGAATTTAAAGGAATGCGAACGAGAGACGTTATTATCTTTGACCCATCAAATGAATGGAGTCATTTATTTTCAGAATCAAAGTTTAACATCAAACATTTACATTAATTTGGCAAAATATGAAAATAATAACAGACAGTTTCACAAATAATGAACTTCAAATCACTCGGCGGTGATTTGAGGACTTTGCTTCAGATATTTCTAAAAATATCTGTACTGATTTATGAGAGAGAGGTGAGTTTAAGAGGAAATTGAGATTT